AAAAAAAAAAAAAAATAGTTATAGCATCAAGACACTTTCCTACATTGGGTACATTCACTAAACACACGAAAGCAAACTTTAGTTCTTAAACACATTTCTTCCAGGGATGATTTATATGTATACATTTTTCAAGACAACATGTATTTTTTCAAGGCATCGTACCAAGTCAAATTCTATTATATGAATGATTTTAAACAATCAAGATCAATCACTTAGAAGAATTATAAGCAAAAGAAAATAGGTAACTTTTCAGAAATTAAAATATCAATTCAAACTCAAAGATTCTTTTCTGCTTTGTCTTCCAAGATTATCTACAGTCCTTTCCCCAGGACCTCTGCATTTAATTAATTTTAAAGTAGGAATTGAAGGAGTAATGATAAAGGAGGTAGAGAAATCACTTCCCCTATACTCCCCACACACACCAAGAAATTAAAAAACAAAGCATTAGAAATTTAAGCAATAAAATTTACCAGTTTCATGGAAATCTTAAACAGAATATAAACTTAATCTTGCCTTATTTTCTTCTAATTATGTCTAGGTATTTACCTTTTCCTTAATGACTAAAAAGAGTACATTATATAAATATGCTATTTACCAATATAATTAGAGATAAATATCTTTGAATAAGTCAGCTTTAAAAATGGCTGAAGAAGCACATGAGGACCATAAATTAACATCAGGTAACTGTTTTTACTCAAAATCAAGTTAAGTAACATGTACTATGTTATAGCAACCTAATATATAAACTAATGCCATACCTTTAATTGTTCTATCAAGATTTGTAGGTAAGCATCAGCCTCTGTAAGTTTCTTATCAAAGTCTTGAACACTAGGAACAAATCCTGAATCCAAACCCTAAAGAAAAAGAAAATTTGCAATTATGTTTAGCAGAACCCAAGCAACGTTTAATAGTACACAAAATATTTCATCCTTCATGCATGAAGACATTTTAATTTTTTAAATAGAAATAGTACTTTTACACAAATAGATCTGTGTAAATTATCTAAATTCTGTACGAATAGTGATGTATCAATCTCCCTCATTGACTTCAAGCACTATCCATTCTTACCACACATACTACTGCTCAAATTAGGATTTATTCTTCTCTTTAGAATCACTTTTCTTCTCCCCAAAACCCCATAATTGGCTGCCAGTCACCACCATAGAAACATTCCCTTAATCTTCACTTCATATTCTCACTGTTTAGTTCTCCCATTTCTTAACCCACCCCCATCAACTCTGAAGTTTTCCTCCTTCCTCCTTTATTAAAGAAAAAAACCAAAAACTCCAAATTCTCACCTCTTCTAAAGAAGATTCCCCTAAGTAAAAGTGAGAACACTTCTCTCCTAATCAAGTTTCCTACTTAACTTTCACCTTTGGCATGAACAGTACACTCTGGACTTGGTGTGAATGTTTATTTATTTAAAGAGCCCACTTATTTCTCAGTGTAAAAGTCCAGTATTTGCATGTCCTACTTTTTTGTACACTTAAAATTTTAAGCTCTAAGAACATGGAATTCCTATGTTTTAATTTTACCTAAAAGAAACTTTTGAGTTCTTAATCATCTCTGACCCAAAAACACACCAATCCTGGGTGTAAAAGACAAAGCAGTTGGAGACAACAAGACTACCAGCGTGCCACACTTATGTGTTGAGTCGTCATACAGTTAAGCAGGAGAATAAGGGTCAGCAACCATTACTGTCAGAATCCCAACCCAACCACAAAACTCTGTCCTAAATGGGTGAAATATACTATTTCAACATACCCATCTCACACTTGACTTTCACTCATCACATTTTTCTTCCTTTGGCCAAAGCATGCTGAACATTTTCACATTCCCATTTTAGTAAATTGAGGCCAAAGTTCATTTTATATTACAGCAACACCTCATCTTTGCATATATAACACTTTACCATAATTAAAGCACTTTTTCAGCCATTGTTTCAAAACACCAAATTGAGATGGTATGGTATTATAGAAACAACAATGGGTTGGAAAACCTGGTTTCTAATTTCAGTCCAGCCACTAACAAGATACTGTGGCTCTCTCAACTTCTGTTTTCTTACCTGCCAGATACAAGCATCCTCCTACTACTATTATTAGTGCAGCAGCCACTTAGTACCTCTACTAAAGACAACAATTAATAATGCTATCAATTTGTACCACTATTACGATAGTACTAAATAGTACTACTACTACAGTTCTATTGTTGCTGTACTCAAACTAAAATTCAAATTCTGAACCAAAACCTTAAAAACCTTAGTCCTATTTAAGACCATGGGAAAAACAACTTAACTTGTAATTTATTTTTCGAATTCGGATGCAATAAATCCACTTTTGTTTTACATACATGTCAAGAAAATGCTTGATCTGAGTATTTTAAAAACCGTTCCCAATGAGAGATGTCATGTATAAAAACAAAATTTAAGAAAGAAAAATCATAATAAACAATGTGCACAAAATCCAGATATATTTATAAAATGTGGTTAAACATTTATATAGAACTTCCTATTAGAGACATTTAACATGTAGTGTATGAGAATAAAAGTTGTAGAAAGGATAAATACATCACATTTCATAGCTACTACAGTACTACACTACGAAAGAAGGAAGCAATTTCTTTTCATGTTACTGTACTATAAAAAAAATTAGACTGGTTTAGTTTTGTTTGACAGAGCAATATAACATAATTATCAATAATTTAACTATTGGACCCAGTTAAAATCAGCCAAATGTACTGTTTTTGCTAAATATTTAAAAAGGTCAGAGGCATATTCATAAATGAATACAAAGTGAAGCATCTAAGAGGAACCATGGTCTTTAAGAATTTTCCCTCTTCTGAATCCATTTAGAACTATCATCGTAAAAATCTTATTAACATGTCCCTTTGAACAAATCACCATTAGATTAAAAATCTTCCAGTGAATAAAATTAGATTTAAAGTACTGCTATCTCCTCACCTAAACACCTAAATTAATTCTTCAAAAACAACCCTTTAATGTTGATAGAACCATAAGAATCTCACCTTGGCTCTCTTCTCAGTAGTCTTCCACAACTTTTTTTTACCCTTAGGGTAAACTCCAAGTCAAAGATCTACTCACCCATCCATTTTTCTTTAGTTAATGTATAATGGGAGGTTTATACTGACAGTTATCAGCTCAAAATCCCAGAACTGGCCTAACTGCCTTCCACAGTAACCTATAAATTTTTGGTATACTTAAAAAGAATATCTACATATACAGTTAGCCCATCTTCAATCAATAAAATAATGTGTACAGATTTATAAGTAATACAAACAAGTAGTTAATAGTCATTAAACTGTTTTCCCAGATCTAGGAGGAATAACGCACTGGAAGTACAAGTCTGACTACATATCATGACTTACAGTACATCAAAGTCACTTAGTCCAAACTCCCACTCACAGAAGTTACTTTTATAACATCTTTGAAAGTCATCTAGTCTTTGCTAGATATTTCATGAGATGAGAAACCCATTACCTCCTAATGTGGACTATTTCATAAAAATTATTTTAAAAGTATTAACTGTTCCTCTTTCCATTCAACATTTAGGACACGAAGGCACTACACTTAATCTAGTCTTTGCTAGATATTTCATGAGATGAGAAACCCATTACCTCCTAATGTGGACTATTTTATAAAAATTATTTTAAAAGTATTAACTGTTCCTCTTTCCATTCAACATTTAGGACACGAAGGCACT